ATATATATATATATATATAAATATACACACACACACACACAGATATGTGTTTATCTGTCTTCATTCCTGCTAATAAAGCAAAGAACAAAGAAACCTGAAAAATCTCTCATTTGTGAGACCAACTCTCTACTGCTTTTCATGAACAGCAGATTAGTAACAATGATAGCGTCTGTAGATGTGTGAGGGTTTCAGTTTTTTTTTTGTTTGTTTGTTTATTTATACGAGGTAGTTTATTTTGTAAATAATTTGATTCTCCACTGAAGTACATACATATTGGAACTCCGTGACTTCTAGGTGTCCTTTCTCTCATTCACTCTGTCAGCCAGAGATGGAGGTGTCTGCTTTAATGCCTGTCATTTATGGACTGCTTTGGAAATAGCCATGGAATAGCCTTGGCCTGAGTTGATGACATTGGATATAAAGGATTGCTATTCACTGAGAGGAGGTGAAAAAAAAAAAAAAAACGCAGCCCAATCATGGCCCTGGCAAACAAAGAGTGAATGGATGAAAGATCAAAGGTGTAGAGGGAACGTAGACAGTTAGAGAAATGGGAATCACTGAAAGGACAATTTAAATAGGATTGAGTCAAGTTGAGAATTGAAGTTGTACCGTATCTGCTGAGACTCTTTGTCAACGTGGAGGAGTTGGAGATGTTATATGCAGAGTTCTGCTTTGGCACAAGGGCAATCACTGAGCCATCTGTGACCTGGACAACAAAAACACACTGTATGTGAATCAGTTGTACTGGTTTTTATATACATGTCTGTGTTCAAGTACGTTCATGCTTGTTTTGTGTCTGTTTACCTGATAATGAGCCAGTGTGTTGAGTCTTTTCCAGTCATTGTCAATCTTAGTTGTGACATCTTCATCCTGCAGAATGATTCTGGCCATCCGACCCTTACGCCATTCTTTAAACCGAGGAAACAAAAATTAACAACAAATAGTGAAAGACAAACATGTCTACGTTATTATAAATCAGTGGCTTTTCTGATACTACAGGTATATAT